TGATATATGTATATTTACCATATTGCATTGTACACTTCTACCTCTGATTAAGATACTTATATATTGTTTATGTGTTGATATATATATTTACCATATTGCAATGTATACTTGCACATTGTTTATATTTGGAAGTCACATTGTCCTCATTTATTGCACAGTTGTTTATTATCTCAGTTTTTAAGTTAGATAGATATTGAGAATTATATAGATCAACAGTCATCTAAGTTTGTCATTTATAATTAGACTAATCAGGTTCTTTAGATATATAGAGATTATATTCAGTATAGATAGATAATCTTCAACCTCTTCAAAGAGCTGTAGAAAATGGCCTTTAATCTAATTCAGAGTTCTATGGTAGGGAGACACAATCACTCCTGGCAACACTGATCTATGCCCGAGAGAATGTTGAGCACCAAAGACACTCCACCTGGAGCCTTTCTTCTTGGCAGAACTGGCCTTTGGGTAAAGAAATGCTCATACCTCAACTACTGACAGAGTTACAGAATATCCGTAAATGGATAAAACAAGACTGTCATATCCTGCCAAGACAGGGTAAGATAGTTTTGAAGTTTCTTGCCTTTGAAAATGGTATGTCAGTTACATCAGGCCTTAGCCAAAGTTGGTTGCTTCAACGCTGCAAATGTGACTTTGGGTGTTTGTCCAGGTAGCCAGTTGTCTCTGCGATTTGGTACATGTTCTGGAAGTTGTTTGATTGCACTTCCTAATTACTCAGATAACATTATTTCCCTTCTCAGATCTTCGATGGGATTGAAGATTATATAAATGTAGTTACTTTCCTTTCATGACTTGGCCAAGTTATTTGTTATACAAGACTTAAGCTAGTTAGAATAGGATATTTGTATTTATTGTATATAATTTCGTAGGTTTGTACTTATTGTATATAATTGCGTAGTAGGCTTAGAACTCTCTTACTTAAACAAAAGGGGGAGATGCTGTGGGAGTTCCTTCAGCTCCTTCAGCCAATCGCCGCTGAGTTACCAGCCCATTGGGGCGTGGTCTCTCTCCCTTTAAAAAAAGCAACGGCTGTCCTCCACTCTGTCTTTGTCTTCCGGCTCCGTTTCCGGCCCCTGGACTCCTTTCCTGTTCACGCGGAGGGGCTGTTGTCTGGGACGGTAATCTGTAAGTTTTTTCCCCTTTGAATAAATAACCATTCTATTAATCATAATTCCAAACTGGTGTGGGATTGTCTGTGACTTACGCCTTCAGGGAAGTATATATCTCAACTAAGGGAGCCATTTTAGGGTTTGCAAGAGACTTGATTCTTGATTCTGGGTTTCCAGGTCCAAGGAGAGGTCCCCAGATTGTTCCCTGGGCAGCAGAGGAGTGGGTGCCTGAACTGGCCTTGGCCCATAACCATACTGATGAATATTTTGTATATCACCATAGAACCTTCATCTGGCGATGGATGGAGATAGAGACAGAGACCCACATTGGAACACAGGACTTAATTCCCTAGGTCCATATGAAAAGCAGAAGGAGGGAGAACGTGAGCAAGGAAGTCAGGATCAGAGGGAACCTTCATCCGACGATAGATGGAGATTGAGACAGAGCCCCACATTGGAGCACTGGACTGAGACCTCAAGGTCCAAATGAGGAGCAGAAGGAGGGAGAACATGAACAAGGAAGTCAGGACCGCGAGGGAGGCAATCACCCACTGATACAAGGGGACTGATCTAATGAGAACTCACCAAGGCCAGCTGGACTGGGACTGAATGAGCATGTGATCAAACCGGGTTCTCTGAATGTGGCTGACATGGGGGCTGTCTGAGAAGCCATTGATAATGGCATTGGGACTGCTTTCGTCTGCATGTACTGACTTTTTGGGATCCTAGTCTGTTTGGATGCTCACCTTCCTAGACCTGGAGGGAGGGGGAGAGGAACTTGAACTTCCCACAGGGCAGGAGACCCTGACTGCTCTTAGGACTGGAGAGGGAGGAGGAGAGGGAGTGAGGGGAATGGGAGGGTACTGGGAGGAGGGGAGGAAGTGGAAATTTTTATAAATTATTAATAATAAAAATAAATAAATAAAAACACCCCACTCAACAACAGAACAACTTCAACAATACAGCCACATTAGCAAAACAAAACCAGAAAGAACTAAAGCAAACTTCTAAATAACACATACAGCAGAGAGGAAGTTCCAAGGGAATTAACAAACTAGTAAGGAGGTGTAAACAAAGGGCCTGGAGAGCTAGCACAGCAGTGTGAGCCTCTGCTGCTCTGCAGGACTGCAGTCAGATCCCAGCACCTCAGCCAGGCAGCTCACAACTGCTTCCTTTTTTTTTAAATTTTTTTTTATTGAGCTAAATATTTTTCTCCACTCCCTTCCTTGCCCTCCCCCCACTAGTTCCCCATGCTCCCAATTTACTCAGGAGATCTTGTCTTTTTCTACTTCCCATGTAGATTAGATCCATGTATGTCTCTCTTAGGGTCCTCTTTGTTGTCTAGGTTCTCTGGGATTGTGTAGGCTGGTTTGTCTTTGCTTTATGTTTAAAAGCCATTTATAAGTGAATACATGTGATAATTGTTTTTCTGTGTCTGTGTTACCTCACTCAAAATAATGTTTTCTAGATCCATCCATTTGCCTGCAAATTTCAAGATGTCATTATTTTTTTCTGCTGTGTAGTACTTCATTGTGTAAATGTACTACATTTTCCTTACCCATTCTTTGGTCGAGGGGCATTTAGGTTGTTTCCAGGTTCTGGCTATGACAAACAATGCTGCTATGAACATAGATGAGCACATGTCCTTGTGGTAAGATTGAGCATCCTTTCTTTGGGTATATACCCAAAAGTTACAGTATTGCTGGGTCTTGAGGTAGATTGTTTCCTAATTTTCTGAAAAATCACCATACTGATATCAAAAGTAGCTGTACCAGTTTGTACTCCCACCAGCAATGCAGGAGTGTTTCCTTTACCCTAAATCTTTTCCAGCATAAGTTTCATCAGTGCTTTTGATCTCGGCCATTCTTACAGGTGTAAGATGGAATCTCAGAGTTGTTTTGGTTTGCATTTCCCTGATGGCAAAGGATATCAAGCATTTTCTAAAGTTTCTTTCAGCCATTTTGGATTCCTCTGTTGAGAGTTCTCTGTTAAGGTCTGTACTCCATTTTTTTTTATATTGAATATTTGTTCTTTTGATGACCAATTTCTTAAGTTCTTTGTATATTTTGGAGATCAGCCCTCTGTCCGATGTGGGGTTGGTGAAGGTCTTTTCCCATTCTATAACCTGTCATTTTGTATTGTTGACCGTGTCCTTTGCTTTATAGAAGCTTCTCAGTTTCAGGAGGTCCCATTTATTAATTGTTTCTCTCAGTGTCCTCACAACTGTTTTTAATTCCAGGTCCAGGGGATCTGACACCCTCTTCTGGTATAAAACCACACACAGTCACACACATACATGTACACAAATAAAAATAAAATAAATATTTTTTAAAATGTAAGTGAAAATGTGAGATATCAAAATATGTGGGCTAAGGGAGCGACCTCAGGAGGCTACGTGCCTGCTGTACAAGCACGAGAGCCTCAGATGGATCGCCAGCACTCCCATCTATAACTCCAGTACTGGGGAGCTGGCAGCGGGAGACATAGGCAGATCCTTGGGCACCAGTAGACAGCCATTCTAACCAGCCAGTGAGATCCAGATTCAGTGAGAGACCCTGTCTCAAAAAGGTAGAGGGCTTATAGGATCGCTCAGAGGAACATTTGTTCCACAAGCCTCATGACCTGGCCTAGAATTTACAGCACCATGTCTGCCTTCATGCTACCATGCTTCTCACCAAGATAATAATGGATTAAACCTCTGAACTGTAAGCCAGCCCCAAATAAATGTTTTCCTTTATAAGAGTAACCATGGTCACGGTGTCTCTTCATAGCAATGGAAACCCAAACTAAGACACCACCTAAGACATTCTTAAGAAATATAAAGGATGAGATGATGATGATTTCAATTTTTATAAATCAAATAGTTATAAAACAAGACAAGGCTTTTTAATTTTGGTTTGTTGGTTTCTTTGGTTGGTTTTGTTTTGTTTTTCAAGACAGGGTTTCTCTGTAGCTTTGGAGCCTGTACTGGAACTAGCTCTTATAGACCAGGTTGGCCTTGAACTCACAGAGATCCACCTGCCTCTGCTTCTCAAGTGCTGAGATTAAAGGTGTGTGCTACCACCACCTGACGACCAGACAAGATTTAAAACATAAAAATCAAAGACCAAGATCCCTTATTAATCAATTATATGTTTATATGCTGTGATAGTATGAATGTAATTGGTCCCCATAATCTCATAGGGAGTGGCACTATTAGGAGGTATGGCTTTGTTGGAGTGGGTGTGGCCTTGTTAGAGGACGTGTGTCACTGTGGGGGCAGTTTTGAGGTCTCCTATGCTTAGGATACTGCCCTGTGTCTCAGACCATTTCCTACTGCCTGCAAGATGTAGGACTCTCAGCTACTTTTCTAGCACCATGTCTGCCTACACACCGCCATGCTCCCCACAATGATGATAATGGACTGAAACTCTCAACTGTAAGCCAACACCTCAGTTAAACGTTTTCCTTTGTAAGAGTTGCCATGGTCATGGTGTCTCTTCACAGCAATAGAAACTCTAAGACACATGCTATCACCATAAACATATACACAACAAAATTCAATAAATTCAAATCACTCAAGAATTCAAATAGTTAAAAAATTGAAAAAAAGAGTCCACACATAAATTTTGTGAAAAAATTATACAATAATGCAAGAACACAAAGCTATGAGTGAAAAGATGGTTACGATTCCTATGCTGACAGACCCAGCACATGAGACTGGTACACAAGCTGAATACCGTTCCTATCAAAACCTTAGGACGGTATTTTACAGAGAAGATTGTTCTCAAACAAAAGCCAACAGGTTGCATACACATGGAGCACTATTTATTTTTCTGTGAAGCATAACCAAGAGAACCGATACTAAATAGAGTCTACTAGAAGATGAGTCAGTACCTGTGCTCCAGCATCCAGCTGCCTTAGAGACCAGTATATAAACTTGACAAAAGGCTCATGCAGTTTGGCGTTCACAAATGGCATCCACTGGAGCTGCTCTGTCATCAGAGGCAAAAGCTGAAGGTGGTGGAAAACAAAAACAGCACATATTTAGATATCTGAAACCAATGCCATGATTTTCTAAAAATGAACTAAATGACTTTTAGGACTGGTCTATCTATTTCTACAAAGAAGCCAGTTGAAGTTTGGATAATACACTGAATATGCAGATTAATTTGGGGTAGGGAACAGATATCTTTAAAAATATGGATGCTTATTATTTAGATATTTTAAATTTCTTTCAAAAATTTTAGTTTTCATATTACATGTTTTATATCAAAATTACAAAATTGCTATTTACTGTACTTATTCTTTCATATGGCTTATGTGAGTGTTCATTCCATCTTGACAGCAGTACCAGTAGGACAGTGGTTAATTAACCCCTCAGCTTTTGTTTAGCTGATAGTCCTTGTTTCTCCATTATGAATGTCCAGTACTTTGTGTAACCACCACTGGCTCACCAGGATCTGCTGTAAGAGCTGCTACCATGCTCACAGAGGCGCCTTAGCATGTGGCAATGTGCTTTTCTCTTGCTGTTTTAAGTCTATTAAGACTATTCTTAAAGATAAAATGAATCCGAGTCAGATATGAAATAAGTAAATTATTAAGTTAATGTAAATTTTTTTGTTTTCTTTTTTTCTTTCCTTTTGTTTTTTTCTTTTTTGAGATAAGGTCTTACCATGTATCCCTGGTTTGTGTGAAACTTAATATGTAGACTAGGCTAGATTCAGACTCAATCCACCTGCCTCTACCTCTGCCTCCTGGGTACAAGGATTAAACATGTGCTCCCAGGCCCAGTTCACATTTCATTTTTTAAATTATTTTTGAGACAATTTCATGAACTCTCTTCTTACTTTGAACTTTCTATAGAGACATAGTTTATATAGATGTTAAAAATTCTAAATAAAATGTGTCCTATTATAGGTATAATAAAGTATCACAAAGTATGTTTAAACAACACTTAGGTCTGATGGAGGCCTTAGCCGGTCAAGATTAAGATATCTGCCACCCTGTATGTGTTTCTGGAGGCTAAGGGGAAGATTCACTCCTTACTCATTCAAGCTGAAAGCAGAGCTCAATTCTCTGCAGTTCTGGCGTACATCTACTGCAGATCTACACTGAGCTGAGAACGGTATCCAGCCCCCAGAACTGTCTCCTTCCCAGTGTGCGTTTCCTTTCTTGGTCCATCTTCAATGCCAGCAATGATGTACTGAGTATTCAACCTATTCTTCTAACTCTTTCTTTCCAGGTCAAAGACTCAATGTCTACCGGAAACCGGGAACCTCCCTGTTCCAAGGACAGCTGACTGGCAATTTTCACTCCTTTTCATTATGCACCAGAACATACTGACAGGTCCCAGAGGTCAGAATGGGAGCATTTTTGCAGCCATTATTCTACATAGCACAAAAGAAGTTTTGAAGGACCTTTGTAGTTAAAAGATTTTTTTTAAAAGATGAATATAATTTACTCAAAATCCTGGACTACTTAACAACCATGAAATTATTCCTGAAAATAACAAACAAAACCTGTCCTTCCCTCAAAGTTTTTATACAAAGTGTCAATCTCTAAAGACCTTTCATATCTTGATATTATGAGCACTGATATTAGTGTTAGGAAATGCCTCCCTTTGATGATGAGAATCCTAAAAGCAGAGATTTTACCCTTAGTCCCAAATAGAATTAACAAAATAGAATTATCCCAATAGGTTTCAAATCTATGACTGTATGTAAAAGAACTATTCACATGACTGAATAGATGGTAGTTTGGGTACTTTTAAGCATTTTATTAAGGTCATGTTTTTACTTTTAAAAAAAATCCCATCATATTAATAAAACTACAAATACAATGCCAGTACCTAAGTAGACCCTGAATTTAATCTCCAACATCATCCAAAATTTAAAAAATTAAAGATGTACATCCAACGGCTAGCTCGATGGTTTGGTGGAGAGGAGTATTTTCTGCTGCAGAGGACAAGGGTTTAGTTCCCAGAACCCCATGTGGCCCACGACAGCCTGTAACTCCAGTTCTAGATCCTTGAGCACTGTATGCGTTCAGCACACATACATATATATAGGCAAACATGCATATACATAAAACAAGCCTTTCCAATTTAGTACAAATTAATACTGAGGTCTGGGATGAATCATGTTAAAAACTGTTGGTACAGACAATTTTCTAGCAAAAAATGCTCCTAAGTCAAATATAGAAGCACGTCCTTATAATCCCAAAACAGGGAGGCAGTGACAAGCAGATCCTAAATTCAGCACCATCCTCAACGACAAAGTGAATTTGAGGACAGCCAAAGCTACTGAGAACCTGACCTGCCTCACAAACAAAAATACTTGCAACATTTCACTTAAAAACATGTCAGAAAGTTGGGGCTGGAGAAATAAGAGCACGCCTTGTTTCAGTGCTCTTGCTTTTGTAGAGGACTGGGGTTCAATTCCTAGCATCAGACAGTGGTTCACAGCCATCTGGAACTCTAATTCTAGGGCAGTGGTTCTCAACCTTCCTAATGCTGTGATCCTTTAGTGCAGTTCCTCATGCTATGGTGGTCCCCAACCACAAAATTATTTTCATTGCTACTTCATAACTGTATTTTGCTACTGTTATGAATCATAATGTAAATGTCTATGTGTTCCAATGGTCTTAAGCAACCCCTGTGAAAGGGTCATTTGACCCCACACCACACATACACACACACACACACACACACGCACGCACGCACGCACGCACGCACGCACGCACGCACGCAAAGGGGTCTTGACCCACAGGTTGAGAACCACTATTCTAGAAGAGCCAAACATTCTTCTGACCTCTGCAAGCACCACATGCATGTGGTGCACATACATACATGCAGGCAAAATACTCTCACATAAATTAAAATACATGAATCTAATTGAAGAATGAAAATACCAGAGCCAGTGAGATGGCTTAGTGGGTAAAGGAGCTTGTGTTTTTTTTTTTTTTTTTTAATAATTTATTTAACTTTATTTCATGTGCGTTGGTGTAAAGGTGTCAGATTCTCTGGGACTGGAGTCTCAGATGGCTGTGAGCTGCCATGTGGGTGCTGGGAATTGAACCCGGATCCTCTGAAAGAGGAGCCAGTGCTCTTCACCTCTGAGCCATCTCTCTAGCCCCCGGTAAAGGAGCTTGTCACTAAGCCTGAGAATCTGAGCTCCATTCTTGGGGTCCACAGAGTGGGAAAGAGAACCGACTGAAGACAGTTGTCCTCTGACCTCCATACATGTATAGTGGTGGGTACTCCCCCAATTAAATAAACAAATGTAGCTTTTAAAATCTAAAATAAAATAAGTAAATAAAAATACCAAAAGCTTTTCCTTACTTAATCTTCATGTATTTCTAATTAACAACAAAACAAAACCTTGGGGGCTGGAGAAACGACTCAGAGGTTAAAAGCACCCAGGCAAGGTTTGAAGCACTAACACTGGCTCCAGGGGACCTGACACCCTCTTCTGGCCTCCACCAGGCACACATGTGGCACTTACATGCATACACACAAAACATTTACATGGGTAAAATAAAAATAAGTGAACCTTAGAAAACAACCTTTACACACTTCTCTTGAATGTCACTTCTCTGGGAAGGTTTGAATGATGGTTTTTCACCGTCCATACCAGGTTCTTCGGGCTCCACTTTGCTAAGATGGTGGTCTGATATCCAGTCCATGAAAATAATTAACAGCTCATATACTTGTCCATTGAGTGCTGTCTGTTGATCAAACATTGAATCAAACATGACTGCAGTTCGAAACTCACACAAACTAAAAACAAAGCCTTAAATTTGGTGGTTATAGAATAACTTATTTAAATTATTTTTAGATAAGTGTTTAGGTATTTACCTAAAATAAATTCCACATCAAATACTGCCAACTGTATTAAAAACATTAAATGCCTGCTAAGACATGTAAACTCATCATAAAAAGAAAAACAAAAGTATACTTTATTACTATAGTAAAGAATTTCCAGTGGCTACAATATAGAGGCCCTAGGCTACTATATTGTATTAATCCCAGCATTAAAGAAGCTGATGCAGGCAGATAATGAGTTTGAGGCCAAGCTGGCCTTACACAGTGAGACTCTACCTCGAAACCAAGAAAATTTTGTTTTGTTTTGTTTTATTGAGATAGGATTTCTCTCTGTGGCCTTGATTGTCCTGAAACTCACTATGTAGACCACACTGGCCTCAAACTCACAGATCTGCCTGTCTCTGCCTCCTGAGTACTGGGATTAAAGTCATGTGCCACCACACCCAGCTATTTTAAAATAATTGTTATTAAAATTATTTAAGCCTGATAACACAAAAATGTAAAAAAAAAATGGCTTTAATTCAACAGCATGAACTAGCCTATCTTAAAAAAGTCTAACAAAACAGACTTAATGATTCCCAAAACCAAAGAATTCTTATTGTAGGATTTTGTATTTTCTTCCTACAAAACTTAGGGTTTTTTTGTAATAATAACCTGTTATTAACATGAGGTGTAACTTTCTTTTCCTGGAAACTCTATTCTCCGAGAGCCTATCAAGACAGGAGATGAAAACAGTAAGATTAAGGTCTGGAATATAGCAAAAGTGTAGAACACTAGTATAGATGAGTGTGACCTTTGCTTCGTCCCATAAAGAACAAAAATACATTAAAACCCAAGCAGCGAGGCACACTTGTGAGGGGTTTTCTTGAGTAGATCATTTGGTCTGGGCCACACCTGGTGGCAGCCAAAATAAAAAGACATAGGACAGAAAGTTGTGTTTTGTGCCTGCTTGGCCTCACTCTCTTGGCAAGTTCACTATCTTGCTCTTGAGGCAATCCTTCACTGGTAATAGAGCCCACTTCTCTACAGATTCCGATGTAGACTGAAGACCAGCAGCTCTCTAGGATCCAGCACAAGATCAAGATTGCTGCCTCACAGACAGAACAACTATCAGTTTCTTAGCCTTCCATCAGGAGACAGCCAATGTCGGACTACTTGGGTCACAGCCTGCAAGCCACTCTAACATATCCCACATATCCCTTCATGGAATATATAAATGTGAATTCTCTCTCTCTCTCTCTCTCTCTCTCTCTCTCTCTCAATCCCACTCTCTCAGGGAATCGCCAACAAAGAAAAGGAGCCGAACAGCCTAGTTCTGCACTCTTGGTGGCTGTGGCAGCTCCTCCCCTGAAGTTGACAGCAGCCACGTCCTCATCTAATCATTCCAGATTTTGACCACACCTGAGCACAAACCCAGCTTGTGGCAGACACAGCACCACCTATGGCCTACACGATACAGAAGCTTCTGCTTTAGTTCCTGCATGTACTTCTGCCTCAATCTCTGGGACTGGAGAACTCACCCGGGAGTTGCTTTGCTCAAATAAACTTATTATTTAACTTTTCCAGTTCAACTTGATCTGGCTTACTGTGTGGGCTGGAAACCTATTATCACAATACAGAAAACCTATTAAGGCCAGGCGGTGGTGCACGCCTTTAATCCCAGCACATGGGAGGCAGAGACAGGCAGATCTCTGTGAGTTCGAGGTCACCCTGGTATATAGAATAAGTTCCTGGACAGGTTCCAAAGCAACACAGAGAAACCCTGTCTTGAAAAACTAACAGGAAGGAAGGAAGGAAGGAAGGAAACCAATTAAGATGTTTCTCTATAAATTAATTAAGATGAATTCTTTCAAAACAAACAAAATACATATTTTTGCTTAAAATAGAAAGGAAAATGATTAAAGGTTAAAAGAAAATTTCTTGGCTCTCTATTACAGAAATTTTAATCATATCATACCTTGAAAGGTTTAGAAACTGGTACTTTTTCTTGTTTTAAACTTTTCACTTCTTGAGCAGCATGGGAATCTCCTTTCAGTCTTTGTACTGTCATAAACTCATACTTCCTCTGCCAATGCACATAGTAATGAATTAGAAAAAGCAAGTAAATCACTTAAAAATTCAAGATAGGACTAAAGAGAGGGCTCAGTGATTAAGAGCACTAGCTGTTCTTCCAGAGGACTCGGTTGCAATTCCCAGCAACTACATAGTGGCCCACAGCCATCTCTAACTCCAGTTCCAGGGGATACAATGCCCTCTTCTGACTTTCATGGGCACAGGGCATAGAGCACATAGTGCACAGACATACACGCAGACAACAATCACAAACACTGAGGACCTGACTTTGCAAACTCTGTTTTAAAGAAGGGGCTTTATCCTAAGCCATATAATGAGCTGGGGGTGGGCAAACACAGCTCCAGAAATGTGCAGCGACAGCAGGAACTTAAACAGATAGCCTAAAGAGATAGGGGGCAGGACTATAAAATCTGGCAAGGTGCAGATGTTCTTGGGAGGCATCTTGTCCTTGAAGATGCCTTGTCAGTGATTTATGGCTCTTAGTTAGGTTCTCATGCCCAAAAACTGACCAATGGTAACTACCTTACCCTATGCCTTCCTTACTCAATTCCAAAACGCCAGGACATGAACTCCCCTGGTTACGGTATTTTCCCTTTAAAAGTTCTACCTTCCCAGGGCTCCTGCCATACTTTCTGCACCCACCTTGCTGGGGGGCTGGAAAGGTATTGGTCCAAACTTGAGTTTAAATTAAAAACCCTCAAGTAATTTGCATCGGAAATCCAGCTCCATGAATTCATTTGGGTACCAGGAACTTGGACATAACATAAAATAATTAACAAATTTAAAAATTATCGTGGGGACTAGAGAGGTGTCTCACAGTTAAGAGAAGGTACTGCTTTTGGAAGACTAGACATCAGTTAGGCAGTTCACAGTTGCCTGCAATTCCAGCTCCAGGAGCTCAATGCTCAATGCCCTCTTCTGGTCTCTGTGGGCAACTGCACACACATGGCACATACTCGCTCTAAATATACATATATATATATATATAGATAGATATTAATATATTAATATATTATATTATATATATATACACACACACACTCAGAAAATAAGCAGGCAACTCACCTGTAGGTTATCTAGACGAGCTTGAACCCTTTTGGCCTGAATCTCCATCTTCCTGTTTTCTTCACTTACTTCATTTAGCTAAGGAAGGAGAAAAATTACATATTTCAATAGACACTGTAAACTATTTTGATATGAAGATTTCTCAATGTAATCTTACCAGACACTTAACTAAGCAGTGTAACAAAACAGCCAAAAGATCTCCCATTTCACTCTAGAACATTAATAGTACCTAGGAAATTTTACATTTTATAAAAAAAATTACAAAACTCCTGTGAAGGCTGGTGACAACTGTCAACAATCTGTAATCACTCACAAGACAGGTCCCCATGAGCCTTGTGGCAGGCTTCTAAGGGATTATCCTCACTAGATTAAGTGCAGTGGGAAGACCTACAATGAAACAGGGTGGTACTATTCTTGGAGCTCGGGTCCTAGACTACATAAAAAGCAGAAGCTAGCTGAGCACTGGTGTTCATTGCTCTCTGCCTGATTACAGACGCAGGCCACAAGCTGCCTCCTCCAGCTCCTATAACGTGACTTTCCCACCCTGATGGAATGCGTCCCTCAACTTTGAGACCTAGCACAGTTCCTGCCTTTGCTGGGTATTTCAGCACAGCAAGAGAAAAGCAACAAAGATGATTCCTAGGGTCTGAAAAGTCTGGTGGGGGCGCTGGAGAGATTGCTCAGAGGTTTAGAGCATTGCCTGCTCTTCCAAAGGTCCTGAGTTCAATTCCCGGCAACCACATGGTGACTCACAACCATCTGCAATGAGGTCTGGTGCCCTCTTCTGGCCTGCAGGCATACATGCAGACAGAATATTATATACAGAGTAAATAAATAAAAAAATTTTAAAAAAAGACTGGTGGGATATGCTTTGGAAGAAAATGCACTGGCCAGTTTTGTCAACAATGACACAAACTAAAGTCATCTGAAAGGAGGAAGCCTCAATGGAGAAAATGTCTCCATAAGATCAGGATGCAGACAAGCATGAAGGGCGTTTGCTTAATTCGGGATTGATGGGGGAAGGCCCAGCCCATTGTGGCTGGTGGTCCTGTGTTCTATAAGAAGGCAGGCTGAGCAAGCTGTGGGGAGCAAGCCTGTAAGGAGCACCCCTCCATCTGCAACAGCTCCTGATCCAGGTTCCTGGCCTGACTTCCTTCAATGTTGAACAGCAATAAAAAAGGAAGGCAAATAATTCCTCTCCTTCCCAACTTGCTGCTTTTTAAATCAATCTTTATTTTATGTGCATTGGTGTTTTGCCTGCATATAAGTCTGTGTGAGGGTGTTGGGTTCCCTGGAACTGGAGTTACCGACAGTTGTGAGCAGCCATGTGGGTGCTGGGAATTAAACCTGGGTCCTCTGGAAGAGCAGTCAGTGCTCTTAACCACTGAGCCATCTCTCAAGACCCCACCTTAACTTGCTTTTTGGTCATGGTGTTTCATCACAGCAATAGAAACCCTGACTAAGATAGACCTCTACCATGAAAAGTGTACAAATGAGTATGTACTGCAATAGCTACATTAGGGTTGTAATAGATAAATAATGGGAAGAACTGACATGTGATAGCTAATTTTAATTGTTAAGTTGACAAGATTTAGAATCACCATGGAAACACAACTATAGGTATATCTATGAGGGTGTTTCCAGAAAGGTTAACTGAAGACAGACCAGCCTTCAACATGGCTGACACGATTTCATGAGCTGGGCCGTCAAGCCAATTAAAAGGAGAAAGCAAACTGAAAACCAGCAGTCTTCTCTCTGTGCCACCTCATATGCCTGCTGTGTGCTGTACCCACCATGCTGTACCCTCAAATCATGAGCTGAAACAAACCTTTTCTCCCACAAGTTGCTTCTGTCAGGTTATTATCACAACAAGAAAAGTTAATACATGACATTTTTACAATGCTGAGTCTGTTCAACAATGAACGTCACTGGGCGGTGGTGGCACACACTTTTCATCCCAGAACTCAGGAGGCAGAGGCAGGTGGATCTTTGTGAGTTTGAGGGCAGCCTGGTCTACAAGAGTTAGGTCCAGGACAGGCTTCAAAGCTACAGAGAAACCCGTCTCAAAAAAAAAAAAAAAAAAAAAAAGACAAAAACCAATGAATATAACACTTTTCAATTTGTTTAGGTCTCTATCTTAATTTAATAATGCTGTGTAACTTTCAACAGAGGTAGCTTCTGTGTATTTCTTTTTTTTTTAAGATTTATTAAGTATACAGTGGTCTGCCTGCATATGTCCCTGCAGGCCAGAAGAGGGCACCATATCTCATTACAGATGGTTGTGAGCCACCATGTGCTTGCCGGGAATTGAACTCAGGACCTTTGGAAGAGCAGGCAATGCTCTTCACCTCTGAGCCATCTCTCCAGCCCCTTCTGTGTATTTCTTTAAATTTATTCATCTGTTGCCAATGATTTGCCAACAAAATACCTAAGTATCTTTGTGTGTATGTATACATATTTGTATGTACACTGCATGTGTATGTGTACATATACATGTATGTATATGTGCGTGCATACACATGTATGCATATGCATGTATGCACGCATATGTATATATGTCTGTGTAGAACAGTATCAAATATTAGGTGTCTTCTTCAATTGTTCTTTGTACTATTTTCTGAATTTTAAAGTTATGTGTATATGTGTGGGTATGTGCACATGAATGCTAGCACCCGCGGAGGCTGGAAGCATTAAATGTCCCTGGATTATGGGTCATGGGTGGTTGTGAGCCTCCCACACGGTGCTTGGAAGTGAACCCGGGTCCTCTGAAGAGTAGTACCTGCTCTTAACCATACAGCCATCTCCCCAGTACCTTTTGGAGATGTCTGTGATTTCAGGCATGTTCTTTACCACCAAGCTACATCACACCAGAAGCTTCCATCTTTTATAACACAGGGGTTTCCAAGCACCTCACAATAAAAAAAAAATTTCTACTATTTTTCGGTAGAAATCTTAGAATTATTCATAACAATCTGCTGCACGTTCACTGTTTATAAGGGCTGACATCCAGAGGAGATGCCCTCTTTTCTAGATTATTATGCCATTCATCTCTAAGATCTCTGACTTCTTTTGCTCCCTTAGATCAGGCAGGTGGAGCTCTACTATCACAGGATAGAGAGGGTCTATATCTCTATCCAGCAGTGCAGATGTTCCAGAAAATGAACCTTCAGCCATTAGTAGCCCTTAAGATTAAGGGGATGAAGTCTCAGAGAGGAAAACTGAGGCAGAATGGACAAAGGTAGGGGTCACAAGAAAGGAAAGGAGACTCTAATATTAGCATTTGGGTGAAGTTCTTGTCAGCTGAGAGTCAAAATTGTTGATACAGCTAACAAATTTGCCGTGAAGATTGCCTGCACAGATGATGATCATTTTATAGATCCATTCTTCAGTTGAGAGGCACCTAGGATGTTTCCAGGTTCTGGCTATTACAAATAATGCTGTTATGAACATAGTTGAGCAAATGTCCTTGTGGTATGATTGAGCATCCATTTGGTATATGCCCAAAACTGGTATTGCTGGGTCTTGAAGCAGATTGAGTACCAATTTTCTGAGAAAACGCTATACTAATTTCCAAAGCAGTTGTACAAGTTTGCACTTCCATCAGCAATGAAGGAGTGTCCTTACTCCACATCCTCTCTAGCGTAAGCTGTTATCAGAGTTTTTGATCTTGGCCATTCTGAGGTGTAAGATGGTATTTCAAGAGTTGTTTTGATTTGCATTTCTCTGATGACTAAGGATGTTGAGGATTTCCTTAAGTGTCTTTCGGTCATTTGAGATTCCTCTGTTGAAAGTTTTCTGTTTAGATCTGTATCCCATATTTTAAATTGGATTATTTGGGTCTTTTGATGTCTAGTTTCTTGAGTTCTTTGCATATTTTGGAGATCAGTCCTCTGTCAGATGTGAGGTTGGTAAAGATCTTTTCCCATTCTGTAGGCTGCCGTTTTGTCTTGTTGACTGTGTCCTTTCCTTTACAGAAGCTTCTCAGTTTCAGGAGGTCCCATTTATTAATTGTTTCTCTCAGTGTCTGTGCTGCTAGAGAAGTGGGTCTCCTGTGCCAATGCATTAATGTATACGTCCTACTTTCTCTTCTATTAAGTTCAGTGTGATTGGATTTATACTGAGGTCTTTAATCCATTTGGACTTGAGTTTTGGGCATAGAGAGAGATATGGATCTATTTGCATTCTTCTACATGTTGACATCCAGTTATGCCAGCACCATTTTTGAAAATTTTTTTTCCATTCTATAATTTTAGCTTCGTTGTCAAAAATCAGGTGCTCATAGGTGTGTGGTGGTACGGGAGAATTGTCTGTATTCTGTCAATCATATTTTAAATAGATGCTGATTGGCCAGGTAGGAAGTATAGGCGGGTTAACCAGACAAGAAGTAGAGGTGGGGTGATGAGAGCAGGAGTAGTCTGGGAAGCAGGAAGTTCCCTCGGCATTCCTGCCCAGACTCCGAAGAGGCAAGAAGTGAGCTGCCCCACTGAGAAAGGTACCGAGCCATGTGGCTAACATAGATAAGAATAATGGGTTCATATAAGCGACAAGAGCTAATAAGTAGCCTGAGCTAACGGGCCAATCAGTTTTATAACTTATGGAAACCTCTGTGTGATTTTCCTTGGGACTTGCCGACTGTGGGGTACTGGGCGGGACAGAAACACCAACAAGCAGGCCCATTCATGTTACAGTATGGATTGATATTAGGATCTTTAATTTAATTCCATTGGTCCTCCTGTCTGTTTTTATGCCAAAACCAAGCAGTTTTCATTACTATAGCTCTATAGTAGAGTTTGAAGTTAGGCACAGTGACGTATTCAAAAGTTCCTTTATTGTACAGGGTTGTTTTGGCTATCTAGGACTTTTTTTTTCATATGAAGTTAAGTATTGTCCTTTCAACGTCTATAAAGGATTTTGCTGGGATTTGAACTCTATAGATGACTTTGGTAAGACTGCCATTGTTACTATGTCCATCCAGCCTAGAGCACGGGAGAGTTTTCCATTTTCTGATGTCTTCTTCAATTTCCTCAAAGACTTAAAGTTCTTGTCATATAAGTCTTCCACTTATTTGGTTAGAGTTACTCTGAGATATTTTACTTTATTTGTGGCTATTGTAAAACATAATATTTTTCTCATTCCTTTTTTGGTCCCTTTATCATTTGCATATAGGCGCCTAGTGCTCATGCTGTCTCCTGGCACAGCCTGACCCTGCCGCCTGGTGATGATGCTGTCTCCCTGCACGGCCTGACCCTGCCGCCTGGTGATGATGCTGTCTTCCGGCATGGCTAGGTAGAATTCTTAACCTCAATTGTTCTTTAAAGTTTTAGAATTTCAATCTAATTCCCTTTTATAGTCTATATTTTTAAAAACTGCTTTTACATATTTGCTGTATGGTAGAGAGCACACATGTGGAGGTCAGAAGGCAACCTGTAGGAGATGGTTCTCCTTCCACATGTGGGCCTTGGGAATCAATCTCAGGGCTGTGGGCTTGGTAGCAAACACTTTCATCAGAGCCATGTCACCTATCCCATAGTCCACACTTTAAGAAGGGTCTCAATGTCCATTTTTTTCTTTCTTGAATGTATTAAATTTAAAGTCATCACTTTTAATCCCAGCACTCAGGAAGCAGAGATAGGTGGATCTCTGTGAGTTTGAGGCCATCCTGATCTACATAGCAAGTTACAGGCCAGTCAGAGATACACAGTGAGTGAAACCCTGTCTCAAAACTAAGTGAATGAATGAATGAATGAATGAATGAAATCCACAGTTTCTCAGCCCTATGCTTTAAAGCAACTAAGTTTTGCTTCACTTTTGTTCTTAGAGAGATGGGATTCCATGTGCATCACCACGCCCAGTGCATTCCTAGGTTTATCTCAGTCTCTCCCCATCTACTTCTCCCCAATCAATATACATGTGCTGGCTGGTTTGTCAACTTGATACAAGTCAAGACTTACCAGTGAAGTGGGAATCTTAACTGAGAAATGCCTCTATAGATTGACCTTCAGGCAAGTTGGGGGGCATTTTCTTGACTAGTGATTAAGTGAGGGGGATCCAGATCGCTGGGGGCAGCACCACCATTAGGAGATGGTCCTGGATGGTATATGAAAACAGGCTGAACAGGTCATGAAGACCAAGCAGCACTCCTCCATGATCTCTGCTTCAGTTCCTGCCCTAACTTCCCTTTATGCTAGACGATAGCATAAAACTACAACTGTAAGCTGAAATAAACCCTTTCGGCTCCAAGTTGGTTTTGGGGTTTAATCCCAGCACCAGGAACCCTAACTAAGTCAATAGACATAAGCAGTCTTTTCTCCATCTTCACCCATATTCCCTCATTTTTACCTTTTAGTAAAAAATTAACAGAAGGAAGAAAAAAGAAGTTATAACTCACAAAAAGATTTCTGCTAAGCAATTTTAGGACTATGTATTGACAATAATTACAACTCATAGAAAAGTGGTTACTGTACAATATAATATCATTTTATACACATGAAAGACTATGAGCAAAAAGGCTTAAGTCTAGCACAGTGCCCAACATTTAGTAGATACTTGGTTTAAATTAGTAGTAATATACGGTTATAGTATTTAAGCCTAAATCAATGCCTAAAAGTTGATTTGTTCCCAAACTGCCAAGTTTTTCTTGTGCTTTCTTTTAAAATGAAAAAAAAAATATGTTCATAGGAGTGACAGTTAAAAGACAATGGCCCCCATAGGCCAATAGGGAGTGGCACTATTAGGTGGTATGGCCTTGCTGGAGTAGGTATGACTTTATTGGAGCAAGTATGTCACTAGGGGGTGGGCTTTGAGGTACCAGATGCTCAAGCTCTATCTTATGTGGGATTCCCCTCTGTATGTTATGAATATGTTTTATTACCATTGGTTATTAAAGAAGCTGTTTCACCCAATGGCTTAGTAGAGTAAAGCCAGGCAGGAAATCTGGACAGAGATGTAGAGAGAAAGTAGGTGGAGTAAAAGAGACACCGTGTAGCTGCTGAAGGAGACAGACCCTGGATCCTTACCAGTAAGCCACAGTCTCATGCCCATATATAGATTAATAGAAACGGGTTAATTCAAGATGTAAGAGCTAACTAGAAACATGCCTGAGTCATTGGCCAAACTGTTGCAATTAATACAGTTTCTGTGTGCTTATTCGGGTCTGGGTGGCTGGGAGACCAACGAGCAGTCTCCGCCTACACCTACCCATTGGCTCATTCTCTTCCTGCTGCCTGTTAATCAATATGTAGAACTCTCAGCTACCTCTCCAGTACCGTGTATGCCTGCATGCCACATACTTCCCGCCATGACAATAATGGAATAAACCTCTGAACTGTAAGCCACCTCCAATTAACTATATTCATTTACAAGAGTTACTGTGGCAATGGTGTCTCTTCACAGCAATAAAAACCTAAGACAATGGGTATTCTATCTGTATGATGTCTGTGCACCACAGGCAGGCAGTGCCTGTAGGGATCAAGAGGGCATAGGATTCCCTAAAACTAGAGCTACAGACAGTTGTGAACCTCCCTGTGGGTGCTAGGAGCTGAACCCAGTCCTCTGGAAGAGTAGTCAGGGCTTATAACCACTAAGACATTTCTCCAGTCCCTGTGCTTGCTGTCAATCTAGTAAAGTTCTTTTACTTTCATTTTTTAAACTGCCAAATATATCAGCTCTTTGTCAAAATAGATGAAAAAGAAGCAAGGATTTAAATATTTTATTTATGTTTACACGAAACTTATAATAAAGCTAACAAATTTAATAAAATTATAGCTGAAATGATGTAAGACTGACTTAAATTTCTTAAACATAATTCTTAAATCTTAGCATCTAATACATATGAAGTAGGTCTTACCTGTTTTCTTAGGTTATCATTCAGCTCTCTCAGGGCATCAAACGAGGACCTCATTCTCTTGTTCTCTTTATTCTTTTCCTTAAGAACGTCTGTTAAATGTTCGACTTCTATGCTGTGTTGCTAAAAGAGGGAGAAAACTGATCTAAATAGCATCTTAAGGCCCACCATGCCCAAGACCCTGAGTTAAATCCCCACAAAAATCATTAAAAAATAAACCAAATGCTACTGAATATAAGTTAACTAAAAAAATTCTTCTGTCATAAAAACTCTAATCAATGTATTTAAACATAGGTGAAAGGTAGTGTGTGTGTGTGTGTGTGTGTGTGTGTGTGTAGTATGAGTATGTATGTATCTAGATATCTATATACATGTATCTACATGTAGATATAGATATATAGATATATATGCCTAACTCTAACCAAGAAAGTAAAAGGTTTGTATAATAAATATTTTAAGACATTGAAGAAGATATCAGAGGATGGAAAGAGCTCCAATGTTCATGGATTAGTAGGTTTAATATTATAAAAATGGCCATCCTACCAAAAGCAATCTACAGATTAAATGCAATCCTCATCAAAATTCCAATTCTTCACAGAAATTTTCAAAAAAAGCATCTTCATATGGAAACACAAATACCCACCATAGCTGTGGTGATATTTGTTTGTGTTTTAACAAATAAATCTTGCCTGAAAATCAGCGTGCAGAGCTAAACCACTAGAGGCCAGGCAGTGGTAGCATACACCTTTAATCCCAGAACTCGGAAAACAGAGGCTGACAGATCTCTGTTAGTTCAAAGATACCCTGGGCTATATAAAACTGATTCAATATAAAAGAGAAACAGATCTCATACAAAGGTGATCCCGCACTTGGGACCCCATGCCTTTAATCCCAGAACTAGGGAGGTCGACACAGGGGTGATATGGCTGGGTGGAGAGAGGAACAGAAGGCGGGAGGAAACAGGAGCTCATTGCAGTCTGAGGAAGCAGTCAGTCTGAGGATGCAGGATGAAGAGGCAGTCTGAGAACAGAAGCGCCCCTTTAGTCTGAGCATTGGTAGAGGTAAGAACTCTAGTGGCTGCCACTCTGCTTCTCTGATCCTTCAGCTTTTACCCCTTAATATCTGACTCCAAGTTTTTATTATTAAGAACAATTAGAATTCGTGCTACACATAGCTAAAACAATCCTGAATAAGAAAACTGCTGAAGGTATCATCACCTGACTTCAAGTAATACTACAGAGCTATCATAATAATAATAATAAATAGCATAGTACTGGCATAAAAACAAACACACTGATTAATGTAATCAAATTGAAGACCCATAAGTTTGACTATACATGAGATCTCAAAGTCCGCCTCCACAATGACACACTTCCTCCAACAAGGCCACACCCACTCCAATAAAACTGCACCTCCTAACAGTGCCACTCCCTTTGGGGGCCATTTTCTTCAAACCACCACACCATTCTTGGGCATTGTGCTGACTAGTTTTAGTTCAATTTGACACAATCTAGAGTCATCAGAAAGGAGGATGCCTCACCTAAGAAAATGCCTCTCTAAGACCAGGCTGTAAGAAAACCTGTAGGGCATTTTCTTAATTAGTGACTGATGGGGGAGGGCCAAGCCTATTGAGGGTAGTGGTTCTGGGTTCATAAGAAAAACAGGCTGAGAAATCACGGAGAGCAAGTCAGTAAGGAGCACTCCTCCACGGTCTCTCTATCCACTCCTCCCTACAGGTTCCTGCCCTGACTGAGTTCTTGTCATGACTTCCTTTGATAATGAACTCTGATGTGGAAATATAAGTCAAATAAACCCTTTCCTTCTCAAGTTGCTTTGGTCATGATGTTTCATCATAGCAAAAGTAACTCTAAGAATGGCATATACCCAAAGTGCTCTAAGATGCTAGCTCAACCATGTTCATTGCTGCTCTATTCATAACAGCATAAATGGCCATTAACAGATGAATAGATAATGAAAATGTACATTTACATAGTTATTAGTATTTTTCAGCTGTTAAAAAAAATGAAATCATGAAGCTCACAGGTAAATAGATAGTTAGAAAAATCATTCTGACTGAGTGAGGCAACCAAAAAGATAAATACGGTATGTATTCTCTTACACGTGGATGTTAACTTTTAAGCCTTCAATGGGCATGTTATAATCTGTATAACCACAAAGGTTAAGGAATTAGGGGGAAGAGAAGGAACTCCCAAGGAAGAGGAAATAGAATGTATAGTTATGGGGAGACAGGGATGAAGGAGGAGACTGGAATGGAAGAAAAAATGGAGAGGGTGAGGGAAGGGTAAGGGAAGGAATTCAGAGAGGGACAGCTAACCCTAAGGGCCATTTGAGGGGTCATACAGAAACCTACTACAATAAAAGCTTCTTAAAATATACACCTATATAAATGAGATCACAAAACAATGGGGGAAACAAAGCCCAAGTAGACATCTCTCACCACCAAGTGAAACCTCCAGTGCCAGAAATGGGTTACATCTAATAAGTTCTTGGCTGAAGGGACCCTATGGAAGCCCAAAACAACTCAGGATATTGCCAAGGCTATTGATTGCTCTTTACAAACAGATAGTAAGGCTCTACTGCTAAAGACAACTACAAATTTCACCGAATACACAGAAGTCATGCTCGTGTCTAACTAGAGCTTCACCCTTACTGACTGGTATTCATGGTACTAGAAAGCACTTTGCATGCTACCAGAGGACAGAGGTAAATACCAATCAAATTACCAACCCTTTAATCCACAATGGTAGCCTGTCTGCATGATACACTGGCACAATAATGGCACAAAAGTTGTGGGTGTAACTAACCACTATCTGAATGGATTTAAGTCCTCCCCCAAGAGATGGAACTCTTGAATGTATTGGTACAGGAGACTACTTCCTGAATATAACACCACTAGCACAGACACAGAGATTGACAATTAATAAATGGGACCTCCTGAAACTGAAAAGCTTCTGTAAGGCAAAGGACATGGTCAACAAGACAAAACAGTAGCCTACAGGATGGGAAAAGGTCTTCACCAACCCCACACCAGACAGAGGGCTGATCTCCAAAATATGCAAAGAACTCAAGAAACTAGACATCAAAATTCCAAATAATTCAATTCAAAAATAATGTACAAATCTAAACAGAGAATTTCCAACAGATTCTCAAATGGTTGAGATATACTTAACTGTATATCCGTGTACTTAGCCATCAAGGAAATGCAAATCAAAACAACTCTGAGATACCATCTTATATCTGTCAGAATGGCTAAGATCAAAAACACTAATGGAGTGGATGTGGAGTAAGGGGAACACTCTTCAACTGCCAGTGGGCATACAAACATGTACAGTCACTTTGGAAAACAATATGGCAGTTTCTTAAAAAACTGGGACTCAATATACCTCAAGACCGAGCTATACCAATCCTGGGCATACACACAAAGGATGCTCAATTATACCACAAGGACACTTGCTCATAGCAGCATTATTTGCAATAGCTAGAACCTGGAAACAACCTAGATGTCCCTCAACTGAAGAATGGATAAAGAAAATGTGGTACATTTACACAATGCAGTATTACTCAGCTGTAAAAAACAATGACAACATGAAATCTGCAGGCAAATGAATGGAAACAGAAAAAAAAAATCATTCTGAGTGAGGTAACCCAGACCAAGAAAAACAAACATGGTATGTAGTCACTAGTAAGTGGATATTAGGAGTAAAACAAAGGTTAACCAGGCTACAATCTACAACCCCAAAACGGTTACGTAACAAGGAGAGCCCAAAGACAAATACATGAATTTCCCTGGGAAGGAGAAATGGAAGAGATCTCATAGGTAAATTGAGGGTAGGGGCAGGTGATGTGGGGAATGGGAACATGAGGGATCAGGTTGGGTGGGTTGGGGTGAGGCCGAGAGGGAAGAGTAATGAAAATGATGTCTTGATGGGGGGTGATTTTAGAGTTAGGGAGAAACCTGATATCAAGGAAACTCCCAGGAATCCATAAGGATGACCCCTTAAGCTGGTGTTCGGGAACCTAGGTAGTTTCCTCCTGCCTCAACTTGATGTGCCATGTTTTACTGAGGCCCATAGGAGGCCTGCCCCTTTCTGAACAGAGATGAAGTGTATGGGGGAGGGTTTTAGAGAGGAGGCGGGGGAAAGTCACAGGAGATTAGGAGGGAGTGGAAATTGTGATCTGGATGTAAAATAAATGAAAAAAAAATTTAATAAAAAAAAGAAGACAGAACTCATGCCTGACACTACTAAGGTAGTCAAGAACCTGGGATGGGTCATGGACTTAAAGGAAAACCAAATACTATTATTGCTCTGCTAAAGAAATGTAGCAATAAAATGACTCCTAATGACATTCTGCTATACCCTTACATGCTCAGCCATCATTAGAGAAGCTTGCTCCTGCAGATGGGAACTAATGAGAGCCACATCTGGACAATGTGCAGAGACTGAGAGACCCTGGAACACTCAGTCCTAAATAGGCTGTCTTTATCAAACCTCTCCCCTCACGGCTCAGGACCTATGAGGAAGTGGAGGCAAAGACTGTAAGAGCAGTGGGGGTAGAAGATACCAAGGAATGGTGCCTTCCAGACACAAGACTGACACGCATATGAACTTACCGTCTGTGGGAGCATGTACAGGTCCAAACCAGATTAGATTCTAACACCGAGAGGGTGAGCGGACCCGAGCCCCAATCCTTAACCCCGAAGCTATCTTCAACTGTCAACCAGCCACAACAGAAAAACTGGTTCAGTCTCACTGGATATACAAACAACACTTAAGGGACAGGTCCCACAAACAGCAGTAGATGCCAACACAATGAACTCAGTGATGTTTTTAGAGACTTTTTTTTTTTTTTGGGTCTCATAATGCTTTGTTTGTTTGGGAAGTTTTTACCTTACTGGTCTTTTGCTTATGGTTTCAGGGTTTGTGTTTTTATGGATTATATGTGTCTTTGTATGTGCCTTCCTGTATTTGTTTTTCTTATGCTTTTTCTTTGTTTTCTATTTTCTTTTTCTTTTTTTTTAAAATTTTTATTTGCCTGTTTGTTTCCTAAAGAGAGAGAGAGAGAGACAAAAAATAAATAAATAAAAATAAAGAAAAAATAAAGACTTGGATTTGGATGGGTAAAGGAGGTAGGGAGGATCTGGAAGGAGATGAAGAAGAGAAAACTATGATCAGAATATACTGTATGAAAAATATTTTCAATAAAAAGAAAGAAAATGAGGTGTGCATGACTAGGTGCAAAGAGGAGGAAGGAGGTGAAATAAGTAAACACGACAAAACTATAATAATTAACGAAGCTAAGAAAGAGAATTACTCTATAATCAAATGTTGCATAATTACCTCCTTTAGAATTTGATATCTTGTCAGAACCTCTTCTTCAACACCTTTAACTTTGCTCAAGGCAGTTTCATGTCTGAAGAGCAGCTGTTCTCGTTCTGCTAAGAACCGTTCTCGGTTTTGAAGTTCTTCAGCAAACTTCTGCTGTGATGCGGTTTCACACTACCAAAACACACAATTTAAATAGTTTTTCTTAATTAGTTCACAAATTCTGCTTTAATCCACTGACACTGTTTGAATCAAATGGTTTTTTGCCAATGTAAAATAATGTGGTCACTCTGGAACAGTCTGGCAGTTCCTTAAAATATGTTAAACATAGTGACCACCTGACTCCAGCATTCCAACAGAAAGAAAAGCATATATTCATACAAAACTTAAACACAAAGGCTCACAGCAACATCATCGCAATAGTCTAAAATGTAAACAACCTACAACTAGTTAGTTTGAACTGCTGACTTGATACCACCTATAATTACCTGGAAGGGTGTCTTTATATAATATTACCTAGATCAGATTGGCCTGTGAGCATGCCTATGGGGGACTGTCTTGCCCAGCCCATTGTGGATGGTACCATTCCCTTGGCGGGAGTCCTGAGCTATATAAGACAGTATGGAAAGCTAGATGGGTAACGCATGTCTGTTTGCTCTCAACTGTGGATATGACATGACTAGTTGTTTTTTTAGTTCCTGCCGCCTTGACTTCCTGCTATTATGGACTGCATCCTGGGGTGGCAAGCCAACAAATCATTCGCTCCCCTCTGCTCATTTCTGCCGGAGTATTTTATCACAGCTACAGAAATGAAACTAGGACACAGCCCAGTGTCCAGCAATTAATGAATAACAAAAGAAAATGTGGTATATTGATATAGGAGGGTCATCTGTCTATGTGTTGCTTTCATTGGTTAATTAATAAAGAAACTGCTTGGCCTGATAGGTCAGAACATAGGTAGGCAGAGTAGACAGAACAGAGTGTTGGGAGAAAGAAGCAGAGTCAGGCAGAGGCAGAGACCCGCCTCCATGGAGCCAGGAGCCAGGTCAGAGCAACAAGCTCATGGTGAGACACAGATTATTAGAAATGGGTTGAATCAATATGAGAGAGTTAGCCAATAAGATGCTACAGCTAATGGGCCAGGCAGTGTTTATGTGAATACAGTTTTCGTGTAATTATTTCGGGTGTGAACTAGCTGGGAGCCGGGCGGCCCGCCACTCCGTCTACAGTATATAACAGCAATATTTGGCAAGAAGAAGCATGGACTGATCTATGATTCAACAGTAATAAGCTTTAAAAACACACTAAGTGAAAGGACCCAGACACAAGTTACTATACACCATTAGGACAGCATGTGTAGAATACCCAGAATGTACAAATCTAAGGAGACAGAAAATAGATCAGTGGCTGTCTCTGGAGAATGAAGAAATATTCTAAAATTGGTTGAGATGGCATGCAACTTCATGAGTATAAGAGATCTCCTGAGTGGGGGGGGGGGGTTGAGGGAGAACAGTAAAGGGGAGGGGAAGGGGAATGAGGTGGGGAGGGATGGAGTGGGAGAGCAACAAATGAGAGATCTTGATAGAGGGAGCCATTATGGGGTTAGGGAGAAACCTGATGCCAGGGAAATTCCCAGGATGGCCCCAGCTAAGACTCCTAGCAGTAGTGGAGAGGGAGCCTTAACTGGCCTTCCCCTGTAATCAGATTGGTGACTACCCCAGCTATCATCATAGAGTCTTCATCCAGAAACTGATGGAGCCAGATGCAGAGATCCACAACCAAGCACCAGGCTGAGCTTTGGGAATCCAGTCGAAGAGAGGGAGGAGGGAATACATGAGAAAGGGAGGTCAAGATCATGATGGAGAAATCTACAGAAACCTCAGGAACAAGCTCGTGGATACTCATGAACTCTAGACTGACAGCTGTGGAGTCTCCATGGGACTGAACTAGGTCCTCTACATGTGGGAGACAGTGGATAAGCTTGAACTATCTGAGGGGCCCTGGCAGTAGGTCCAGGATCTATCCCTGGTGCATGAACTAGCTTGTTGGAGCCCATTCCCTATGGTGGATATCATGCTCAGTCTTAATGCGGGACAAAGAGGCTTGGTTCTGCCCCAAATTAATGTGTTAGACTTTGTTGACTACCCATCAATGGAAGCCCTTACCCACTGGAGGAGTGGATGGCAGGTGGGCTGGGGGAGAAGCGAGGGGGCAGAAGGGGTGGGAGAGAGAACTGTGGTTGGAAAGTAAAATGGAATTTAAAAAAATAATTTTAAAAAAAATTAATGAGTTATGAATTTAAAACGCAGTTTTCTAGTTCAGACCCAATGGTCACTGCGCTGGTTAGTTTTTTGTCAATTTGATATAAATTAAGAGTCCTCTGGAAAGAGAGAATCTCAATTCAGAAAAAAATCTCGATCAGATTGACCTTCAGGCAAGTCTGAGTCATTTTCTTGACTAATGATTGATGTTGGAGGACCCAGCCCAATAAGGGTTGTTATCCAATAAGGTTGATCAACCCTTGGGCAGCTGATCCTGGGTTGTATCAGAAATCAGGCTGAAGAAACTGGCAGTGGTGGCACAGGCCTGTAATCCCACCAATGGGGAGGCAGAGACAGGCAAATCTCTGAGTTCAAGTAAGCTCCAGGACAGCCATGGCTATGAAGAAAAACCCTGTCTCAAAAAACCAAAACCTTTCCACTAAAATCAGGAACACGACAAGGCTGTCCACTCTCTCCATACCTCTTCAATATAGTGCTTAAAGTTCTAGCAATAGCAATAAGACAACATAAGGAGATGGGTAAGCCAAATGAACCCTTTCCTCCCTGCCTTGTTTCGGTCACACTGTTTGTCACAGCAGTAGAAAACAACCTAGGCCGATCACAGATCAGAATCTCTAAAGCTACAGAGCAAAGCAAGCCGTTTGTGATTGTTTTAAATTGAAATCAGCTCTCCCAACAGGCGGCACCCAGGCTGGTCTCAAATTCAGGTGCCCAAGTGATCCTCAATCTTCCACGGAGCTAGGCCTCCAGGTGTACACCACCACATGGACACAGTTTTGATTTCCTAAGTTGATTGTTTCTATGCTTTGTTATAGAGACAGAATTCTGACTGAGTAAATAGATGACTTCCAAACATGGCGCTTACCCAAGATCAATGATGTGACTGTCTCTGTCGTGTTTAACGCTACAGCAACTCAAACCCACCCAGCCAAACCTTGCTCTCCTGAAATCCACTTTCCTTCACGCTGCAGATCAGACAGGGGAGAGCTGAGTTAGGCCCTCACTTCCTCTATGCTTCCTCCAGATCTGCACACCAAGCCCAACCATTCACCTCCGCACCACCTCCTCTCCAGCTGTTCCTCAGCCACAGCCGGCTGCTCCATGCCACCGCTGTCTCTCTCATCTAGCGACCTTCCGGGGAGTACTATCTAGACTCCTGAATGCTGAGACTCCCCTCCAGTCAATTCATATAAGCACAGAACAACGTATGTAGCTGTCCTGCTATAAAAAATCACCAGATGTTAATATTTTTCTTGAATCAAGAGCTTTTCGTATAAGAAATGCATTAATCTAGAATTAACTCCTCTCACTAATTAGTGTAAAATACTTATTCTTCAGGATTTAACTTAACTGTCAGAGAAATCTTACCCAACTTCCCATTCTCCCTTAATCAAATATCCATGATATTCTGTTATTCTTCCATTTAAAGTTATAAAATTAGCCTGGCTTGGTGGTCCAAGTTTGTGCCCCTGTTCTCTAGCACACTAGCTAAGGCAGGAGGATGGAGAATTGAAGGGTGGCCTAAACTACATAGTGAGTTCAAAGTCAGTCTGGTCTAGCTAGTGAGAGCTCATGTATGTATGTGTGTGTGTGTGTGTGTGTGTGTGTGTATTAATATGGGTACTCATTATTTCTTCTAATAAGCTACATGTAGCAGGGCCCTATATATTTTATTCACTTGTATAGATACACAGCACTAAACATAGGAATGTGTATTAGTAGGCACTACAATAATTGTTGAATTAATGAAATCCCATAATGTAACAAAAATCTCTATGCTTGATGACAATTCTAACACTGCAGAATAAATTTTAAAATCAGATAGAACTGAAGGTTAATGAAACCACATTAACCACACTTGCTTCATTTTGCTGGCTTTTATTGTCTGCTGGTACATCTCTGCTAGTTTACTTTTCTTTTACCCTACTTCCCTAAACACCATTTAGTTTTTGTTTCTTGATACAGGGTTTCTCTGAGTAATAGCCCTGGCTGTCCTGGAATTCGCTTTGTAGATTAGGCTGGCCTCAAATTCACAGAGATTCACCTGCCTCTGCCTCTGCCTCCCGGGTTCTGTAATTAAAAGTCTGTGCAACTACTGCCCGGACACCAAAACACCGTTTTTTAAATCTCATTCTATCAATTAAAGACCTGCGAGACAGCCTGAGTGAGTTTTCACTACTTTATTCACTACAGAGACTGCTGATAGACAACCTAGCAACCCCTCCTCATAAGAACTGCCTTTGTGGGCAGTGGTGGCACATGCCTTTAATTCCAGCACTTGGGAGGCAGAGGCAGGCAGATCTTTGTGAGTTCAAGACCAGCCTGGTCTACAGAGCTAGAGCTAGTTCCAGGACAGTTAGGACTGTAACACAGAGAAACCCTGTCTCAAAAAAACAAAACAGAGAGAGAGAGAGAGAACTGCCTTTGTACTTTCTTTTTGAGGTGGGTCCCACTCTAGTCCTGACTGGCCTGAACATCACTCTGTAGACCAGGCTGGTCCTGAACTCACAGAGATCCACCTGGCTCTGCCTCCCAGGGGCTGAACCCAAGGTATGTACCACTACACCCAGCCTTTGTGCTACAATGCCATTCTCACTGCTCTCCTTCCTAAATTCTACCTCCGGTCAGGGCCAGACTTAGTCTTTCCCAAAACTTTTTGGGTGATTAGGCTAAAAAAAAAAAGTTTATTCTTTTCTCTTTTCTTGAAATGAGGCTTATCTGTGTAGCTGTCTGTGCTAGAACCCACTCTGTAGACCAAGGTAGCCTTGAACTCACAAAAATCCATCTGCCTCTGCCTCCCGAGAGCAGAGATTAAAGGCTTGCTTCACTACTGCTCAGCAGAATCTTATTCTTAAATGTCATGGTAATCACAGTTTCAATTATTTGACAAGATGCGATAGTTATTTAAAGTCACTTAGCTAGATAAAATGTTTTAACTATTTCATGGTTATGTATGATTGCTTTCTCTCAAGAGTCACCCAAACTACTCTAGATAAACCCCTGCTTCCTTCTCCTTCAAGACACAGGATAAACACACACATAGGCTGTGGAATATTATTTTTTTTAAATATTTATTTATTTATTATGTATACACAATTCTGTCTGTGTGTATGCCTGAAGGCCAGAAGAGGGCACCAGATCTCATTATAGATGGTTGTGAGCCACCATGTGGTTGCTGGGAATTGAACTCAGGTCCTTTGGAAGAGCAGGCAATGCTCTTAACCACTGAGCCATCTCTCCAGCCCCCGTGTGGAATATTATTTTAAGGTGTGCTACATTTGTTTATGCTGTGGAACATTTGCTTAATGAAGTAAACATACATTGCTTTTGTTTATGCTGCATTACATTTAACTCTGTGAAGCTGTGATTCTTTATGTAAAACACACGGTGGTCTAATAAAGAGCTGAACAGCCAATAGCAAGGCAGGAGAAAGGATAGGCAGGGCTGGCAGGCAGAGAGGATAAATAGGAGGAGAAGCAAGGACGAGGAGGACATCAGCCAGCCATGGATTAAGAGTAGAAGACAGAGGTAGTAGGGATAATTTAAGAAAAATGGACAAGAAACAAGTCAAACTAAGGACAGTTGTTTATTAGTAAGTATATATAAGTCTCTCTCTCTCTCTCTCTCTCTCTCTCTCTCTCTCTCTCTGTGTGTGTGTGTGTGTGTGTATTTATTTGGGAGTTGGTTGGAATGCCCCTGAAAGAGTAAACACACCCACCCCCACACACCCTTTAGATAGAAGCCCCATAGATAACATGATTGCCTATGTTTAGAGTTGAATTTTGACAAGAGACTTCTTACACTTAAGTACTTATAGCAATGAATTTATAATGTCTTCAAATTACACATTTTATATCAGCACTTTTTGTTTTCTATCTTAAGGGTGGGCTGGGCTGAAAACAAACACAAGACAACGTAAAATCTAAAGACACACCTCCCGGTAAACTACCGCTGCTTTAAATTTTCTCTCAGTCACTACGTTTCCCATCCAACAGTCCTATAAATTAAGCCTGTCCCTTCTGACCTGCCGTGACCTGTGTATGTATAACTCAAATCAAATCCTTATACTGAGGTTTTGCAAATAGTCTTAGAACACAAACAACTCTGAATTCCCAATTCAGCATCTGGTTTTTACCTGAAGCTTCATATGGATATGAAATAATTCATCATATATTTGATTTATTTGATGCGGAAGTAAACTCTGCTTCTTTGACACTTTGGATTTTGGATAAATGACATGTTTCGGAGGAGAGTCAACGGAATCGCTGCAACGTTCAGTCGGAATTCTTGATGAGGTTATGTTAGTCGGCAGGGCATCTGCAAAAGTTTCAAATTTTCTCAGAGAAATCGTCTGAGATAGCTGCTTTAAGTAAAGCTTACAGAATTGTTTAAAAGTCTGGAAAGAATGATATGGCAAAATGATAAAATATCAGATTTGGATTTGTACTTTGTGCGATATTCCTGGTGAACCTGAGATTGTTTCGGACTTACCTGTAATGCGGATGAAAACACTCACGCACTAAGTAGCCCAGGCCAAGACAAGGAGTGCCACCTCGCAAACTCCTAATCACGTTTCCTTCTGTGTCCGAAACCAAATTAGCCAACTCAGGTATCATGCCAACCATCGCCTTTACTTTTCAATTTCCTCTACCTACATTCTCAAAGACCCTGATTCGCCTATTTTAGACTTTATATGCTTGTAGTTAACAAATTTTTATAATTTCTTCCTTTAAGTACTTACATGTTCCCTGAAATCTATCCATGCTGCCTTCAGAACGGTGGGCTTACACGTCTTTACTACCTTATCCTATTTTATAACTACATGGCAACATTCCCCCAGACAGGCATCTGAGGCGCTCTGGTTCTACAGTCTTTTAACAGCCATGCGCCTGGCTCTGCCAGCTGTTCAGTCATTTCTCTGTGGCATATATACAACTAATGGCTTTTAGGATCTGTCTGCAGTTCAACTTTACTAATGATGAAAAATTGTTTTCCAAAGTGATTAAACAGTCTCAACAGATGGGTAAGTTTTACTGCTTCCTATCCCTACTAACACTATAGATACCAGAATGTTCTTTCTGCTAATAGAGTATAAAATGTTTTCTTGCAAAAAATAAACCCTTAGGGTTGGAGAGATAGCTCAGCTAAAAGCACTTGTTGCTCTTTCAGAGGATCCAGGTTTGGATGGTTATAAACCACAACCATCCATGACTCCAGGTTCAGGGGATCCAATGCCCTCTTCTGACCTCCACAGGCACCAAGCACACACACGGTGCACATGCATACATACATATATACATACATAGATATAAAACATTCTCACACAGAAATTTTTAAAAAGGAAAAATTAAACCCTTATATATACTGTTTGTGAAAAATACAAACTAGTTCACCCTCTAAGGATATCAGCTTATGCCTCTCAAAAGGCTGAAAATATATCTACCATATGATAGTCATATCACTTCTGGTAAAGTACTCTAAGTCAATGTACCACACTGATATAACCAACCTAATTATCATTCAATAAAAAATAAAGAAAACGTGATACACCACACAAGGTGTACACACTCTCACGTGCGTGTACGCACACACACAAAATCTTATTCAGCTATAAAAAAACAAAATTATTTCATTTGTAGAAAAATGGTGGATATTATACTAAGTGAATTGAGTCAGTCTCAAAGACAAATATGGTATGTTTTCCCCTGTTTACAATAATAGGTTTTACATATATGCATAAACTCGGGGCTGAAAGAATGGCTGAACGGTTGAGGGTTCTTGGTGCATTTTCAGAGAGCCAGAATTTGGTTCCCCTCACCCACGTAGTACCCTGCTCACAACCACTTTTAACTTCAACGCTGACACACTCTTCTGGCTTCTGGTGGCACCTGCACACACGTTTACACGTGCACATGTGCACATGTGCGCACACACACACACACACACACACACACACACTCTCTCTCTCTCTCGCCTTAAAAAAAAAGACACAAAAGCCAGGCAAGGTGGCAGGCTTCTTAATCCCAACACTTGGGAGGTAGAGGCAAGCAAATCTCTGTGAGTTCAAGGCCAGCCTGGTCTACAAACATTTCAGGACAGCCAGGGCTACATAAAGATGCCTTCTCTCAAAGTAAACAAACCAAATAAACATATAAAGTCATATATGCATATATGAAGGTAGGAGCATAGCCTTCCAGAGGCAAAGGGGACTAACAGGAAGTGAGAGGGGTGAATGTGGGGAGAATAAGCTCTAAGGACATTCCATAGCTGTAGGAAAGTATTCCTGTGAAATAGAATATATGCCAATAAAACTCACACATAATAAATGGAACTCAGTGGCCTTAGGACAAGTTTTAAAAGTCTTTCATTATACTTCCTCATCTTGGACAGAGCATGAAACAGACAAAATAAAAATACTAATTTATACTCAGGAGCTAGAGGCAGTAACTTCGTTAAGTTTGAGGCCAGCCTAGTCTACACAGCCAGGAGTACACAGAGAGACCCTATCTCAAAACAACAACAACAAAAACTAATTGTTTTCCAGGCAGGTGGCATAATACCCATGCCTGGGATAGACACTGACCAAGGCAAAGGCATCACAAGTTCAAGATCAGCCTGAGCTTCAGGGTAAGAACATAACTGAAAAACAAAGCAATGAAATGAATTAAAAAGCAAAACAAAAGTTTCATTACTGAGATAAGCAAATGTGTGAAAAAAAAACATCTAGGTATCAAACTAACCAATCCCTAGCCTGGGCATTCCTTATATTTGTTGTCAACTTTCAAGTACATTCAACTTTTAAATATAAATTTCTCTTACATTTTCAGTAAGAAAATTGGCCACCTAATGGGAAACATAAGTCCAGGCTTAATGAAGCTACAACCTCTTCAAACGCTGAGACCAGTGTAACAAAGGGGATGAAGGAGGGCAAGGAAGATGAAAGGAATGTGGGAACCACGTGCCCGGTGCTTCAACAGAGCCACAGTGCACTCCCAAGCCTGCAGCCAAAAGGGAACAGATGCCACTGTTGGTGTCCACTGCCCTTGATCCTGAAGAAACTGTGGGAGACATTCGGGTAGACAGAGAAACACTGCTCCTGAGTAGCAGGGAAGCCAGCCGTGGCGATCTACAGAACTTTCTCAAAGCATCAGGGCTGCTAGAATCCTCGGAAGTCCTTTCCACAAGGAAACATGAAAAGGAACTAAAGATATCATAAAGGCTCAGTTAATCATGAACTTATTTAGATAGGTTTTGAAAATGGAAGAACACAACCAGAAAATGGTATGTTTATTTCTCTTCTCCTTTAATACTAAGCACAGCAAGCATCTTACGGTTTATAAAATTTCAGAACACATGACTGCTATGAGGTAAGCATGACCGACTCTATGTGACAAATTCCCACTTACGAGCATCTCCCTTACCTTTTTCTATTTCTTTGAAGGACTGCTTTGTTATTTCGGAGGCGCCATCTCTGTGATCATCTTCAAATGATTCTTTTTCTGTTTCCCACTTCTTTAAATTATGAAAGGAATCCGGCTCGTCACCTAGGCTTTAACAACACACACATCAGAGACCCGGAGTTCGCCACAACTGACAGGAGAGTTCACACACACGAGGAAATGGAGAAATCATTGTTAAATGTAACAAAGATGCATGTAAAACGCACAGACTAGGTCAAAAGTTCTGGAGCCCACTGCAACTGTCTTCCAGTCTTCTCTGCACATTAAACAGACCTACTTTAAAACAATTTAAAAGCTGTAGAATGCTCTGCGGCTGCCAAACTCTTCTGAAACCCAGCAATGCAGATACCCCAGGCATTGTTATCTAGTTTCGCTAAGAGGATTGACAGTTAATGTAGAAACCAGAATCAGAACCTCATGTTCTGAGGTTACCTCGGGGCAGGATGGCTCCCAAGGAACATAATGTAAGTTGCAAACACATTTGATCACTTTTCTGATAGTACATTAAAACACATTAAGAAGAGGCGAGACTTTCACGTTATTTTCAGTTATCAGGGTACATATAAAATGTCATCCCACCGAAGAATGAACATAGGACACAAAGGTTGTTTAGGTGTATAAAGCACCCCTCCAGGCCCCAGTGTTGGTACCCAGAACCCCTGGGTGACTGATTTAGAACTGCGCCAATTTCATTAACAGGTTACCCACTAACTATCCCATCTTACCAAATGTTCAGCTCTGCTCTGCTACACCTTCTACCATGACTGCATCACCACAATCCTAGAAACCAGGAGCCAAAATAACTAACAAAAGGATTTTACATTATTTTGACCATCCTACATCTTTGAAATTTCTGGGTATATTTTGTATTCATAGCCTATCTCTTTCCAGAGAAGCCCCTTTTCAAGTACTAAATAGCTATTTGTGACCTTTATCTACTTCTGGACTAGATTATGATTGAGGACTGGAAAATAAAAAAGGTCAATGGTATCAAACTCTTCAGAAGTTAAAACCTTCAGATTGTAATTTGGAATTATGCCTAGATTTATAAAAACAGCAGCAGTGGGAGAAGGTAGAGAGGTTTAAGTGGGGAGTAGGAGCAGAGGAACAGGGAAAGGAGCAGGGTCAACCAGAACTAAAGATGCATGAAAAAAAAAAACATAAGGGAAGCTAATACTTGATAAGTCAATTAAAAAATAGAATGGTCTGGGACTAGAGAGATGGCTCGGCTGCTCAGAGCACTCATTACTCTTGCAGAGAACCAAAGTTCAGTTTCCAGCACCCACATGGTGTGGCTCACAATCACCCATAAATCCAGTTCCAGGAAACCTAACACCTTCTGACCTCTATGGGCACCAGGCACACGTGTGGTACACATACATAAAATGCAGGAAAAATACTCGCACACATAAAACAAATCAAAAAGGTGGGCATGATGGTTTAGCCCTAGCAAACTAAAGGAGCAGGAGGATCTCTATAGTCTACAGCGCCAGTTCCTGGATAGCCAGAGCCACACAGTGAGACCCTGTCACACACACACACACACAACAAGTAGGGATTGTAGACATGGCTCACTGCTTAAGAGCACTGACTGCTCTTGCAGAGGATTCGGCTTCACTCCCTGCACTGACATGGCAGCTCACAGCCATTTGTAACTCCAGTATCAGGGGATACGATGCCCTCTTCTGATAATCTCAGACAATGCACACATGTTTTGCAGAGATACAGAACTAAACAGTTCAGTGGTTCTCAAACTTCCTAACTCTGCAACACTTTAATATAGTTCCTTACGTTGTGGCAACTCTGAACTATAAAATTATTTTAATTGCTACTTCATAATTGTAATTTTGCTAATGTTATGAATCATATTGTAAATATCTGTGCTTTCTGATGGGCTTAGGTGACCCCTGTGACCCCCTCACAATGGTCATGACCCACACGTTGAGAACTACTGGCTATGCAGTTAAGAGCACTTGTTGCTCTTGCAGAAGACGTTTAATTTCCAGTACCCACATGGTTCCATAACCCTAGCTCCAGGGGATCCAACAAGCACACACATAGTACACAAACACTCATGCACGCAAAACAGTCACATGCATAGAGTAAAATAAAGACATCTTTTAAAAAATTTAATGCAGTTGGGTGGTGGCAGTGCACACCTTTAATCCAGCACTCAGGAGGCAGAGGCAAGTGGATCTGTGAGTTCAAGGCTAGCCTGGTTTACAAGAGCTAGTTCCAGGACAGGCTCCAAAGCTACAGAGAAACCCTGTCTCTAAATAAATAAATAAATAAATAAATAAATAAATAAATAAAATTAAAGAGAGGCTGAAGAGACGGCACAACAGTTAAGAACACTTGAGCACTTGTTGCTCTTGCAGAGGACCTGGGTTCAGCTCCCAGATCTGTATGGGGGCTCACAACATCTGTTGACCTCCTGGGGAACCAGATATGCGTACAGTACACATATTTACGTGCAGGCAAAACAGTCATACACATAAAATAAAATGAGTAAGTCTTTTAAAAAATTTTTAATTACTTAATAACTCAGAGCAGGAGGGATGGCTCAGTGAACAAAGGCACTTGCTGCCAACGCTGACAACCTGAGTTTATCCCCGAGACCCAAACAGTAGAAGGACAGAACTAACTCCTATAAACTGTGTTCTGTCCTCGACACATGAGCACACCATCCCCCACTCAGACACTCAATAAATGAATAAATGTAATAAAGATTAAATAGGGATGGAGCAATGGCTTAGTGGCCAGGAGAAGTGGCTGCTCTTCCAGAGGATCTGGACTCGGTTCCTGGACCACATAGTGATTCACAACTGTCTGTAACTCATTTCAGGAGGTGAGATACCCTCTCCTGGCCTCCTTGGGGAGTTAGGCTCACAAGTTGTGCATGGGCCACATACACATAAAATATTAAATTAGGCTCTTCAACTACTCATCAGGATGAAGACTGCTTTTACTTCCATCCAAGAAAACACACACACACACATACACACACACATCTCTTTTCTACCACCTTTCTTGAGTTGCTAAGAGGACAGTAACAGTATCAATTCTGAATTCCTTACCAGTTCACATTTAAGTGTTTGAAGGAACTGCAAAAAGGTGTTGTGGGATGCTTCCTTTCATCAGAGTAACATCTTACTGAGGAACCAACTTTATCTCCAGAGCAGTAGGTATCCAGATCGTCTGTCAATTAAAAAAAAAAAAAAAATTACACAGTGACATCAGATACTAATGTCTGACCTCATAACAGTAAGACTCCAAAATCACTGATTTATCTGTCTCTCTAATGAGTTTAGAGAATACACACTAGATTTCATATTGATATCGTGCCTGACTACACAATACTTTTACATACGTTCTTATTTGTCCCAGGCAATGACTCTACTGATATTGTGCCTTACTGACTATACAATGCTTTTCCATCCTTCCTTGATCCAGGTGGTGGTTCTGTAAAGTAAGAACAGGTGTCTTTAAGTCTGCACAAGTTAAGACCCCAAAGAGCAGAGAGCTGATGGAAACCAGGTGTGTTACCTGGAAATCAGAATGCAGCCTTCTTACCTCCTAATATGGTCCTCAAGCATTTGGTTTTTTAACAACGGTAAGCCTATGTCTAAATCCAGTGAAAAGGAAAACGCTTCAGATAAAAACAAAATAAATTACTGTCTTAGTTAGTTAGGGTTTCTATTGCTGTGAAGAGACACCATGACCATAGCAACGCTTATAAAGAAAAAACACTTTCTTTATAACTTTAAACTGGCTTGCAGTTTCAGAGGTTTAGTCCTCTATCTTCATAGCAGGTCATGAGTATGCAGGTAGACATGCGTGCTGGAGAGGTAGCTCAGAGTTCTACACCTGGATCCACAGGCAGCGGGAAGAGACAACAAGCCACTATTTCTGGCTTGGGCTTCTGAGATCTCAAAGTCCACTTCCTAGTGACACACTTCCTCCAACAAGGCCACATCTCCTCCACCCTCATGGAGCTTTCCTGACTCTTATAGTGTTTCTATCAGAGAGGCATGTTTGGGGGTGTGGCATCCTAGCTTTCCTCACATAACACAGAAACATCCCAGAGTGTAGAAGAGAGACAACAATTCTGTTACAAGAAGATTCTCAAGAGGAAAAAAAAAAAAGGTTTTCAAATGCTACTTATAAATTATAGACCACAAAGTAAAAGCTACACAGACTCTGGCAGGAGAAGCTGAAAGCTGCTAGTGTCCCTTCCAGTCTCCCGAAAGTCTGCCGTGAACTCAAGACGACAAAGAAGCAGCACAAGAGACTACCACATAACCTTCTCATTTCTAGTCCAAGTCAATCTTTTTTAAAAAGCCTTCCAGTCGGGGGCTGGAGAGATGGCTCAGTGGTTAAGAGCATTGCTTGCTCTTCCAAAGGTCCTGAGTTCAATTCCCGGCAACCACATGGTGGCTCACAACCATCTGTAATGAGGTCTGGTGCCCTCTTCTGGCCTGAAGGCATACACGCAAACAGAATATTGTATACATAATAAGTAAATAAATAAATTAATTAATTAAAAAAAAAAAGCCTTCCAGTCTCTCCGCACTGGCTCTCTGTTAGCAAGTGGAAATAATCCCTTTCTTCTAATACATTCCTAAGGTTCTGGGTATGTTGTCAGTCCTTTTTGATTATTACTTCAGCAGTCAACTTGAACTGCTATTTTTTTATTAATGATCTCATTCTGTCTGCAGACCGAACTTTGATATTCCAGAAACATTAACCGTTCTTCCTCTCACGTCACACGCACTTTTCTGAAAGTGCCTGTACTGGAATCCAAGCCAAAAGGGTTTTTCACTGAGAGTGGTTTGTTTGTTTTAACTTACTACCAAACAGGTTTTATCCTAGGGAGCAGTCTGCCACCTACCATTATATAACATACTTTGGAAATCAGATCTAGGCCGGCAGACTTACATAAATCAGATCAATATAGCTCTCCAGTCCACTAGTTAGTCCTCAGACCCAGCTCCCACACATGGATGAAATTAAAGACACTATTGATGCTGTAATTACCAAAGTTTACTATTATGTTTAACTAATAAATATAGCACTGAAGAATTAACAAATGGTTAATATTAATAGATTAAGGGTTAATATTTATTACTGTAAAAAAAGTTTTAGCTTATCAAAAAAAATTACAACTCCCAGGATAATTGTTTTCTAATTCCATTCATTTTATAAATTTTCCCTTTAGTTTCTATCCTAGTAACCTTTCCTGCCTAAAAAGAGCAACTAGTGTTCCTCACCCAATGCCCAATGCTCAATTTCTAACATTGTCGGAAGCAAACATATCTGCTGGGGACATTGATTAGTGATCAAGCACTCGCTCAGCATTGATCAAGAGTCTGCTTTTGATTCTCAGCACCTCGGCAGTAAGAAAAGGAAAGTGCACATATTATAAATTAAACACACACCAAAAACCCTCATTAAATTTGATTTTTAAAGGTATCTCACACATTCGTCCCTAAATTCACAAGTATTATTAGAAGATTGCCAAATTGAAATTTTTTAAATAAAAAATAAGCAACACTAACCCTACATCTAAACATTATAAAAATCTCTCAAATGTGTTAAAAGACTCAAACAAAATATTCTATTGGCTTACCTGTAGAGGTTAGAATTCTTCTTTTATATTTAGTCTGATCAAACTTGGAAAACTCATGCTAGAGGGAAAAAGAAAATGCACTTAAACACTAAGAAATATTCCCTTAAGATATTTTTCTATCAATTACATGTTAATTACAGAGGTTAGCATGGAAAAGCCTAGGGGCCCAACCTAAGCAACATTAGCATCACTAATTAGACAAGCAAACATCATATACCTGTTGATTCATCAGAGTGGCCCACACACCATTCATGTCATAGTCCTGCCAAAAAATACAAAACCAGAATGAAATCAAACCAGGATCCATCAGACAAACTCAAACTGGGAGACATTCTATACACAACAGTCTTCGACCTTGTCAAAGCATTAATGATGTAAGAAACTAAGTGTGGGCATCTATTGTAGATCAAGGGCAACAGAGACAACCAAATGTCATGTTCAGACCCAGGTGGTATCTGCACCCAGAAAAACTTTCTACAAAAGGTCATAATTGAGGTACTTAGTGAAATCTGAGTATGAACTATAGGTTATCCTGTATTATTGTAGCAATACTAAATTTCCTGGAAAATAGCAATGAGGCTTTAAGATTTTGAGAACGTGCTTCACAGGAAAACCAAAGTATGTGTTGCAACTGATTTAATGTTATGTGAGGACAGAATGAATTTGTGACACGGACGTGGGAAACACTGAGATATACTGATTATTTCTCAAGAAGGGATTTTGGAAAAACAGCAAACGTGGAAAGGTCCTCGGGAATGCCTGCGACCTTCCTCAACTTCTGGAGAACAGGGTGAATGATGTTCCCACACCTCAGATGTTTTTCTGAAGACAACATTGTTGAGCTTCCTAAAACCTTGAATCTGCTAGGCTGTGAAGCGGGCTTCTCAGCTGAACTGTAAACACCCACCTCTGTTATCAAAGGAGGTGTGATAATAAAAATAAGCCTCGCGGAAACTGCAGGGCTGCAAATGGTTTCCCGCTTCAGTTCTTCCAGCTTTCATCGGAGATGGGATCTAGCCAACCTCTCACATAATACTACAAATTGCCAGAGTGGAGGGACAAGCAGCAAAAGTAGCAAGACTCCCCTGGTGAACGGCGCATTCAAGGGAGGCTACACGAATGCATACTGCCACAACTTCTGTTTGCAATGAGCTTTCCCGAAAGAACTTCTAGGCCGGCTGCACTCGGGACCCGGCCAGCAGGACCGAGGCCACGCCCCGTGCATCGCGGCGTTTCCCCGAGGGAGGACGCTCTCCCGCGAGCCGCTCAGAGGAAGGCGACCGGGGCCCTCCCGTAGCCGCCCGCCTGACCGCCCCGCGGAGCTCACCGCGGCCTCCACTCCCCTCACCTCCACGGTGCAGTTCCCCGCCAGGCCGTAGCGGCTTTTGAGACGCTCCACTACCATGTCCTGCCCGGGTGGCTTGACCACCCTGCGCTCCATGGTGGGTCGCTGACTACGGTCGCCCGGGGAACCGCGCTCAGAGGCGCGTCGGGGCGGGCAGTACGTCACGACGCCCGGCCCCGCCCCCGGGGACGCTGGAAGCCAGTGGGAAGAGGGGTGCGAGGAGGACGCACTGCAAGCCAGTTCCTTTGTCCCTTCCAGATTCTAGTCCTTCGGTTCCAAGTCTCCACACTCACGACCCCCCGACCCCCAGCCCCGCTCCGCTCAGCAAATGAAGTCTTCCAGCGCGAGCGCAGACCCGACCCTCAGGAGGGCAAGTATCTTCAGCACACCTGCTTGCCACCGTGTTCCCCGGGGTCTGGGACCACGTGGGACACAGGGTAAAATGTTTACTGTGCGTAGAACTTGCCTAAGCACACTCTCTTCATCAAAAGAAAAATCAGGACATGTCTGAACGCTAGGCACATGAACTGCAGCCATATTACCTTTTCAATTCCTTTGCCTGTTTCCATAAATTTGGGATAGGCATGGAAGGTGGAGGCCAGCCTGGGCTACACGGTCATAATCAATCGGGACAGCTGCCTCAGCTACATAGACCTACCTCATGAAGTCAGAAAAACTCCCTGTAAACATGTAGTTTGATTTAAAACAAAAACCTTTCCGAAGCCCTACAACGCACAGAGTCCGGGATTCATCCTCATCATACAAGCTCGTACTTGTTCAGTTTCAATTACTCTCCGGCACACATTTACACTGAGAAATTCTAGTAAGTGCTCATGTGGACCAGCACCCCTAAATTCTTTAATCTCTTTTACTGCTGCAAAAGCTGATATTTCAGCAAGTAAACAGCAAGCAGCTTACTATTAAAAAAAAAAACTGCTTGAAGATCACTTTTTGCTATAAAATACCATCTAAACTGTTGTTTTCTTTTGCCAGATTTTAATGAGCACAGAAAAATATAGCCAGTTGGAAAAGAAATAGCTATCAATGTGGTCACCATTATAACAAGTCACATTGTTCTGAAATATATTAAGTATCTTATAAAATACGTCAAGCGTCTTTTAAACTTCTTTGTTGGCGCTGGATAGCGCAGCCATTAAGAGCACTGTCTGCTCTTACACAGGACTTGGGTTCCAGGCCCAGCACCCAAAATGGTAATTGCACAGGTTGGAAACATCTGTTATTAATGCCAGTCTTGGAAAACTTAGTTTAACACACCAATCTGCCTCGTTTTTGAAAGATCTTTAATAACCCTAATAGTTTAAAAAAGCAAAACAAGTGTAGAATACCTTAAAAAGCATTTGCAACTATGCATAGTGGGCACATGCCTGCAATCCTGGTGGAGGTAGTGAGATCAAGAAGAGTTCAGGTGCAGCCTCAGTTACAAAGCAAGTTCAAAGTAATCCTGAACTACAGATGACTTTCTTTTTAAAGACATTTCCGACTACTTAGACTAAAATGATGGCATCAACTTATCAGCTGAAAAGTTTCAGTACTTTTATGAGTTATGAGTTTATACTACAACTTCAGGCAGGTTTATTTCATGTACCTGACCGTGGAATAAATATTTTTCCACAGCGATGCTATTCCATAATTCATTACATAAGTCATAACCTTCCTTGTCCTCTTCTAATAGTGAACACAAGAAAACAGAAAGGAATCAGTACTCAAGATTGGAAAATAGAAAGTTTTATGGTCTAGCTAGATTCCTTTTAGTTTTACACCAAGCACGCCCATAAGAACATGCTGTTCCTTTACCAGCTTGCCTATTTGACATGAACCACATCCTAGTAACATGTTCTGTGTTTATCACACTTTGGATGCTGAAGTGTGATCTCAGAGTGCTGGCCTTTAACAGATCTCACTTTACATCAAGTCACAGAAGGAACAGACAACTGAGATGCACAAGTAATGAATGTTTTAAATGTCATGGCTGTTATCAATTATCACTTTATTTCTGCTACAAAAGTCACCAGAAAAAGGTACTGCAACAATCTAATATAAAGCAAATCTTTAACCAAACAACATGGTATAGATCTTTTAAAAATATTCATACTTTATCACAAGAACTAGAGAAAAATTCAATTCTATCATCAGGACCAAGCTGAAGTTTCTGAGGTAGTAGAGACAGGTAACAGAAAAGTGAATGGAAAGAAGGAAGAAAACAAAAAAGAAGGGAGAAGGATGGGGATGGGGGGGATGATCAACTTATTTAAAATGTAAAAATTAATGTCTTCAAAAGGGAACTACATATCTTAAGAAAAGACAGATTTCTACTTAAAAGTTAATTTTTAACTATACATGAGCATAAAAATTACAGAAGAGCACTTTGGTTAACTCAAATCTGTGGCTCTATCCATTCATAAATGAGTCTATACATAAATGAGCACACGAATAGTTAAGATTACCATATATATATTTTAAATCTAAAATAAAATTATCTGAGTTGTGGTCCCCTTATTCATTGGTAAGTACCATGCAGGAAATCCAAATATCTTAACAGGAATTAAAATAAGATTGCATATATAATATTCCTTCAATAGTCTGGGAAGCTCTATTGCTTTTAACAAAATTAGTATTAGCCATTTCTAATACAGATGTCAGGAGTACATAAACACAAGTACACCTGAAATACACCAGTGTTTAAACTTTTATTTCATACCATGCAGAATCAATTACCACACATTAAAAAGTGACAACAGCTATAAGCTACAATTTTACATTTATACATCAGAAATGTCTGTTTTCAAAAGATGAACATAATTACCATATTGTCTGTAACAATGAAGCATCAATTCAACTGTTACTATAGATAAAATGCACTGTGAAAATAACTTTATAGCTGTCCACATTCTGTGATACTAATTCTTCGACTAACAGACCCTTTAGGAGAACCAAACGACTCAATCTTTCTCACAGTATCCATGCCATCCTTAACAAACCCGAACACTACATGCTTAAAGTCCAAATGTTCAGCTTTCTTCAGTGTTATAAAGAACTGAGAATTGTTGGTATTCTGGCCTCGATTGGCCATGGATAACAAGCCCGGGCCAGTGTGTTTCACATTAAAATTTTCATCTTCAAATTTATCTCCATAAATGGACAGTCCTCCTGTTCCATCATGTTTTGTGATATCTCCCCCCTGGAAACAAAAGAATCTGTTAATACTGACTCACTCATTAAAATACACAGAAATCATCATGACAGAGTGAATGACAAATGCCCTATTTAAAAATACATTTTGAAAACTAAGAAATGCATGTTTTGTGGGGGGAGGTTTTTTCCTACATTCCGTTTCTAGTAGGTAACAAACATTAGAAATCTGAAGCCTTTCCATCTGAATGTTTGAAAAGGAGTAGAATGTCAAGTGCAATGCCAGCTATGGTATGAGAAAACTAAAAATTCCCAAGATGAGAATGAGGGCAAAAAGAAAAACCTGCCCAAGTTGGTGTGGTCTAGTCTTAGCAGATTTAACCGTGATGTACAGTGATACTTACCTGGCAAACAAAGTCTGGAACTACTCGGTGAAAAATAGAGTTCTTGAAACCAAAGCCCTTCTCTCCAGTGCATAATGCTCTGAAGTTCTCAGCAGTTTGAGGAACAATATCTGAAAATAATTCCATGATTATTCGTCCTAGAGGTTCACCATCCGCACAAACATCAAAGAACACCACAGGATTGGTCTCCTTTGATAATTCTGCTGCAAGGGATACTTGTCCATTTTGGAGTTTCAATATGTTCTGTTGACATTCTTCAAATTTCTTCTTAAAACACTCAGTCATTTCCTTTGTTTTAAATCTCACTGCAAGTTGTTCTACTTTTGCTTCTCCATCTGTTAAGGGGAAAAATGGGGGAGAGAAGAGACTTTAATATCAAAGTAACTTACAAAGTATGTATATTTTATAGATTTCAGAAAAGTCAACAAAATTAAAAGGTATTTGAAGGTAGTAACTCACCAGCATAATCTGAGGCAGTCCACACTAAAGCATTATTTGAAACATTTAAAGGTTTTAATTCCATGGCTTTGGTAATAACATGGTTTGCACACACTTTAAAAACCTGGTCTCTTCTCATTAGGATCCGATAATAATTCTTCATTGTATGCCAAAGAATCTTTATATCTCCAATACCTCTCTCCTTCCACTGACTGACTTCTCTATCCCATCTATAAAGTTTGGCTCTCTCTTTGAACAAAATTTCTTCATCTTCTTCTCCAGATTTCACTTCTACCTATGACAACAGATAAGAATTATATAAGCTACTATATAAACAGCTGTTTATAACAAATTTCATTAACCAATGTCAACAGGTTTTACAATATCATAGTAACTAACAACACTATAGACTAGACTAGTAATAATCTGACTTGGTTAAGCAGTAAAGATGTGATTTATCATTAAATATTTTTTATATTTTATAGTATTTTACTTCTCTTTGCGAAATAAAATGCCCTTAAAGGTCAGAAGCGGTTTCAGAAGAGCTGGCTCTTGCCAAGCATGGCAGTATACACCAATATCTCAACACTGGGGACGTGGAAGCAAGAGGACCAGGAATTCGCGGCAAGACTAGGTTATATGAGATCAGGGGGAATGTGGTTTTTTGCATGGATATGCAATAATCCTAGCACTCCAGAAACTGAGAAATAGGGAGATTACAACAGATTTGAGGCCAGTCTGGGCTATACAGTGAATTAAAGGCCAGGTAATGCTATATAAAAACATGCTGTCTCAAAAAACCAACGCTCTACCCAAAAGTGCTGATTCTCTCTATTTTTATGCCACTATTTTCATTTTATGTATATAGTTCTTTACCCTGTGTGTGTATCTATGCACTGCATGCATCCATCGACCCTGAGGCCAGAAAAGGGGATCAGATCCCCTGGAAGCAGAGTTATATGCAGATGTTAGCTACCATGTGGGTACTGGGATTTAACCACTAAGCCATCTCTCCAAGCCTTTTATTGTTTATTTAAATGTTTTTTATTTTTAATTCTTTATCTGTGTGTGTCTGTATGTAGGTATGCGCACACGGATGTAGGTGCCTAAAAAGGCCGAAGGCATCAGAACACCTGGCAGCTGTGAGATG